TTTAATTAAGTGTCGCCTGGAAGTATGCAACACTTTTTGGTGCTTTCTCCAAGGCAAACGACACGGCTTATCAATCATGCCGTACAACAGTGTGACCAAAGTCACCAAATTTACTTTTTTTTTGTGCTTTTTTTTTCAAGTGCAGCCGATTTAAAGTGTCAAAACAAAGGCAATTGCCAGCTAAGATCAGAGGTCGACGCTCACGGATTGCCACGCCTACAATTGAAGACGCCTCAATTGTTTGTAATTGCAGCTGCAGATTTTGTCACGCACACACACGCACACACACACACACACACACATGCGTAATGTTAAAGCAAAGCGGAAAGAAAGTTAAGACAAACAACACAACAACAAAAAAACGCAGCGTTATCAACTGAATTAATTGCGTATGCTTGTATTGTGTATGTGTGTGTGAGTGTGTGAGTGTGTGTGAGTGTGAGTGTGTGTGAGTGTGCCCAGAGACAGCTGCTCCTTTGACGCTTTTTGTTGTTGCCGCTGCTGCTGCTGCTGCTAACGAATCGCGCATCATCAACGTCAAAAAGATAACACGCCCCATTTTTCTCGGCTGCCAGTTTTTGTTTTTGTTTTTGTTTTGTTTGTCTCCTTCTTCTTTTTTTTCCCCCCCTTGCTGTGCCTTTCTTTGCGCTGGCTTCTGACACGTCTGAAGCGACGACAACAACAACAACAACAAAATGGCGAAAGTGGCAAAATGGCCAAAAACTAATAAGCAACAGCAACAGCAACAATCAGAATAATGGGACAGCAACAATAAGCGGAATATTCGTAACAAGACGCACGTTGACAGCGGTCGACGCACTCTCGATTTACGACTAGAGAAAGGTGAAGGACACTGAGAGAGGGGGGGGGGGGGGGGGGAGCATGACAATGGCTGGGAAGGCTGCAGAAATTGAAAGCAAAAGCCAAACTGGCAACAACAACAACTGCGCCGACCTTTGCCTACTGCCTAGCGCTAGTGGGCGTGGCAGGCTCTGCATCAAGTTAAATAGAAAAACTGTCAAACGGCGCGCTAACCCTTCTTCTTCTTTTTTTTCTCATGTGTATGTGCGACTGGGGCGTGTGCGTGTGTGTGTGTGTGTGAGTCGAGAAGCTGTCGCGGAGAATTGTTGTGGGTCGGGCCGCAGTAAAAGTCATAAAAATGACAACGAAAGCAACGCCAAAGGACAGTTGATAATGATAAAACCGCTGCAGGAGCAACCGTGGCACAACTATGGTGGGGATGCTCGACTAGACAATACCTCGCACTTGACGCTAATCGAGAAGATGTCGCTTGTAACTGTGGATTGACTATATTTGCGCCTAGGTGTCAGATTATTGTGATTGCAGGGTATGCACATATTCATTAGTTAGTCAGGATGCTCGACTAGACAATACCTCGCAGTAAACACTAAGAGAGCAGATGTCGCTTGTAACTGTAGATAGACTATATTTGCGCCTAGGTGTCAGATTATTGTGATTGCAGGGTATGCACATATTCATTAGTTAGTCAGAATGCTCGACTAGACAATACCTCGCACTAAACACTGAGAGAGCAGATGTCGCTTGACTCAAGACGTCTGTCGCACGACATTCCATGCACGATTCTAATATGAGGACCACTTAAATTTCTCGCAGTTTTAATTTGGGTGCGTCCACTGTACAAAATGAAATTCCATATCCGGCCAAAAGCGCTGTGAATTCATTTCACGTCCGATGAACGGGACACTTAAACTACATGGGGCCAAGACAAACGTGGGGGGCAGCAGGTACTACACATGGTTATAGTGCAGAAATCGGAGGGGGGGGGGGGAACGTAGCCTGGAGACCGGAGGAACAGGAGCTCGGAGGCGAATGGCGGCTTTTATTTGGTTTTCATAAGATACAATTTATTGCTGCCTTGTCATGAACGTACGTACATATAGATGAGTATATCGTATAAATACGTACGTTGTGTGTGTTATAAATTCCTCTTTTGTCGCTGTCGCTGTGTGCGTGTTTATAACATAGGCTCAGACGCTGGCATAGACATAGACATAGACAGCAACAACAAAAAATAAGATATAGGCGAATAAAAGACAACGCATTTTATGGCCAGCTTGTGTATGCTTGTGTGTGTGTTGGTGGGCATGTGTGTGTGTGTGTGTCTATGGAATGGCTGTGACCTTCTGTGCCTTTGGCTATATGCAGTTGTTGCGGCTTAAAAAGACCAACCAAACAGCCAGCCCGCAAAAGTAATCACTGCTTTGTCCCGCTACATTGGGTCAACAACAAGGAATTCACACACACATGCACACACAGGCAGTTATATGCAGACGTTCGGCTGCTTATCGACAGCAACTAAGTGGGGGGAAAAAAACAGTGTTTAAGGCAGTGCCAGTCACTCAAAACGCCCAACAAATTGGTGGGTGGCCAAAAGCTGGCAGCCGACAGTCAAGCAGCCTTAGTATCAGCAGCATCCAATACCAGTTGCCAGCTAAGAGTTCCAGTGTCAACAGCAACGCCCTCAGCTTTAGCTGCAACCCGAACAAACACGAGTGAAGGCGACAGCAAGCAAGGCCGACAGCCGCCACAACGGCACAATGTGCTGACGTAGAAACGTTGGCAAAACACTAACCCAACCGCCCAACCGCCCAAGCACTATGACCCACTAGGTCCCACTAGGCCCCACTAGGTCCCACTACGACCCACAATCTAAAACAGCAGCCAAGCCAAGCAGCAGCGGCTACGCCCAAGCGAAAGATAAATAACTTAAGGCACCTAGCAATATTTCGAGAACATCAATGTCAATAATGCTTATAGCAATATTCATGCAAATAATAATCATAATGATAATAACAGTTGGAATAATAAAAATTATAATAATAATAATGATAATGATAATAAATAATAACAATATTAATGAAAATAATAATCATAATGACATAATAACAGCAAGAATAATAAAAATTATAATGATAAAGGTTAAGGTAAAGATAAAGATAAAGATAATGATAATGATAATGATAAAGATAAAGATAAAGATACAGATAATGATAATGATAATGATAATGGTAATGCTAATGCTAATGCTAATGCTAATGATAATGATAATGATCATGATAATGATAATGATAATGATAATGATAATGATAATGATAATGATAATGATAATGATAATGATAATGATAATGATAATGATAATGATAATGATAATGATAATGATAATGATAATGATAATGCTAATGCTAATGCTAATGCTAATGCTAATGCTAATCACAATGATAAATGCTCATGCTAATGCTAATGATAATGAGAGCAAATTTGCTAATGCTAACCCTACTGCTTAGGCTAAGGCTAGCCCTAATTGGAATAATGGTCAAGGCTAACGCTAATGCCAATTCCAACGCTACTGCTTAGGCGAAGGTTAACTCGAATCTATCAATGCTAATGCAAATGCTAATGAAAATGAATAGAAGCGGAATAATACGCATAAGTATGCAGAATGTCCAAAACCAACAACCGGCAAATTGAAAGCCAGAGGTCAGCCGCATGCCACACGTCCACAATAATTGCATTCGTGCCACGCTGCACGCTTCAGCTGTAAATCAAGGACAGCCAACAGGGACAAGAAACACTTCGTGGGTGGGCGAAAAAAAAAAAACAAAATTAATTAAACAAACTTTGCCAAAGTCAAAGCGACACATTAAAGCTCTCACCTGACACAATTTATTAGCAGCAGCCGCTGTGTGTGTGTGTGTGTAGTAGATTTACATATTTCTGTATACGTTTACATTCATATTCAGCGTAAATTGAATTAATCTCTGAGCTCATTTTGCTCCAGCTAAGCTGCCGCAACAGCAGGAAAAACAACGACAACAAGTGCCACCTGTGCGCCCATAAATAGAAGCACTTCACAGTGGGCCAAGCGGGCGACCAGGCTGTCAGCAACAACAGCAACAGCAACAGCTGCAGCTGTCAATTGCCCATGCTGTTGCTGCCATTCAACAACAAGCAACAAATTAGGGACGGAAACGGAAGGCGTCAAGTCGTTACAGCTGCTGTGTATGTGTGTGTATGTGTGTGTGTGTGTGACTTTTACTTGTTCGTGTTTAAAATTAGCAATGCACACTGAAGGCAGTAATTCCAATAAGTTAGACAACTCTAGAACTTTTTTATAGATATGCAACTGTTGATGAACCCAATCCATCCACCACAAAAAAAAAAATGAACAAAGAAAAAACATAACTCTAAAAAGCAAGTGGATAATCAGGTGCTGATGCTGATGAAATGAAACCCAAATGAGCTGAAATCGGAAACGAAGGCAGCAATAAAAAAATCGAGAACAGCAGCAGCAGCAACGCGGGGCAACGAGAATATTTAAATTAAATTAAATATAAGAGCGAATATTGGTCTGGGTTATGGTCGAATCAATGCGCCATGCTGTGCAGCAGCAGCAGCAGCAGGACTACAGCAACAGCAGCAGCAGGACTACAGCAACAGCAGCAGGACTACAGCAGCAGCAGCAGCAGCAGGACTACAGAAACAGCAGCAGCAATATTAACAGCAAACAGCTGGGGCGGGGCAGCAGCAGCAAAACAAAAGTAAAGCTGAAATGTAGAAGAACAAGAGCAACATTCGCTGCCAAGCCGACTGACGGCAGCAAAAAGCGTTTCATTGTCGCCGATTCCAAAATGTCAGCAACAGCAACAACAGCAACAGGCGATGCTGCTGACAATTGCCATATCAATGGAGCATTAGATATTGGCGACAACAACAACAACTGCAACAACTGCAACACTGCCAGCAACAGCAATAGAATTCACAATAGCAATATAAGAAGAAGTTTCAGAAAGTCGTCGAAAATGCTGCGCCTGCTGCCACTTTTGCCACTTTTGCCGCTGCTGTTAATATTGAATGGATGGCCGTGCAGCGAGGCGCTGCGGCTGACCAATGGCGGGAACAGCCTGAGCAAGGGCGTTGGCGCCAACAAGGAGCAGCTGAATATCGGCCTGATTGCACCGCACACGAACTTTGGGAAGCGCGAATATTTGCGCAGCATTAACAATGCGGTCACCGGGCTAACAAAGACGCGCGGCGCCAAGCTCACCTTTCTCAAGGACTACTCGTTCGAGCAGAAGAACATCCATTTCGATATGATGTCCTTGACGCCGAGTCCAACCGGTAAGTGTCGCCCATCTCTCAACTCTCTCACACACTAGTTCAACAGTTTTTGTTTGTTTTCGTCCGGTTGGGTCCTGTCCCAGTTAGGCTTTCAAATGCGCCAACACGACACAATTTTAATTAAGATTCGTCTTGGGCGGCTCTTATACCCCGTGTCCATATTGACAATGGGGTATATCAAGTTATTTAAATGTTGTTTCTGGCATATAGCACGCGAATTATGTTTAATACATTCGAGTTTGTGCTTCCGAAATCGATAAATATCGATTTACAGTCCCCGTGATTTGAGCATAAGAACATCAATCATCGTCAATCAATCAGTCAGACATTTAGTCAGTTAGTCTGTTATGCACTCAGTCAATCAGTTGAAGAGTCAGTCAATCGGTTCAGTTGGTCAATCATCACTTAAGTAGTCCGTCCGTCAATTGGTCACTCATTAAGCCGGTCAGTCATACAGTCAATCAGTCGGGCAGTCAATCAGTCACCCAGTATATCAGTCGGTCAGTCAATCAGTCAGTTAAGCTGTCAATCAGTCAGGCAGTCAATCAGTTCGGCAGTCAATCAGTCAGGCTGTCAATCAGTCAGGCAGTCAATCTATGTATGTCTATATGTATGTCAGACAGTCAATCAGCCAGGCAGTCAATCAGTCAGGCAGTCAATCAGTCAGGCAGTCGATCAGTCAATCAGTCAAACAGACAGACCGCCAGTCAGCCAGGCTGTCAATCAGTCAGACAGTCAATCAGACAGGCAGTCAATCAGTCAGGCAGTCAATCAGTCAGGCAGTCAATCAGCCAGGCAGTCAATCAGTCAGGCAGTCAATCAGTCTGCCTATTGGCAGTCAATCAGTCAGGCAGTCAATCAGTCAGGCAGTCAATCAGGCAATACATATATTAAGATATAATCACATGTGCATATTTCGCAGCTGATTGCAGGGTATCTACTAGTTGGGCCACTCTTAACTGTGCAAGTTGGTTGACTTGAGAACATAAGCCCAGGTACATGGAACCTTGCTACAGTTGACCAAGGCTCTGCAACCCCATCCCCTCCCCCTCCCCCCCTCCCCCCATTTACCGTCCTCTGGTATTTAGAAACTAAAAGCTAAGATGAAAACGGTCTAAGAAAATCTAGAGTAAAGCCATGTAGTGGGCGTGTCTGTTGGGCGTGGCTTTGCACACACACACAAAGAGCACAAATATACCTACATAAACACACACACACACACACACACATGCACGCATATATATATATATATATTTATACCCTAATATCCATTTAAAAACTTTGCTAATTAAATGAGAGCGCAATTCAGGGTCGCATAAATCCAATTCGCCGTTTAATGTGCATATGTGTGCGTGTGTGTGTGTGTGTGTGTGTGTTATACATATACATGTGTGAGTGCATATATGTGTTTATAAATATATATAAATGTGTGTGCATGTACATTCAGCCGTAAAAAATGAATCTTGTTATGCCCGCTGACAAGTATAAAGACTGATTGAGTGTGCCTGGCTGCTGTGCGTGTGTGTGTGTGGGTGTGTGTGTGTGTGTATGTGTGTGTGTGTTTATTTTACTCAATATTTCGCAGTCTAAGGCAGTCGAACGGCCGAACCCAATGATTATTGACAATATCCCCGAACCTATTGAAAATGTGAAGAGGGGTATCACGATTTTGTGCAAATTTATGTAACAGGCATATAAGGTATATATTCTTGATCAGGTCCGTCTGCCTGCCTGCCTGCCTATCCGTCTGTCCGTGTGAACGTCTCGAAAAACCTAGAGCTTGAATTCTCAACAAATATCGATTTTCAGACGAGATACTTAAAACTAATTATAGATTCCAAATATTTCATCAATTATTTCTACCTGAAAAAGTCTCAAAAGTCTTACAAATTGATGAGCTGAAAATTGAAAATTGCCTAATGATCGGCCTCCAAATACCGAAGTTAATTAGAAACTGGAAGATGAAGCACAGCAGCTCCGTAAATTGCGAATTAAGCGTATTAATTATATGCATGGTATGGAGGGAAACTAGCAAGGAGGCCTTCAGGGTATCTCAGCGTCGGGCATGCCCGTTGAGAGCACTCGAACTTGTTTCTTGCCGTTGAATAAATTGATAAAACAAACTCAAACAAACGAAATTTACATGATGTTTAATGTTTATTATTGGATGGCCATGGGCATAGACTGAAGATGGGCCTGGAACTGGAGCTGGAACTGGGCCAGAGACTTGCCTGGGCCGGAGCCTGGGCCTGGCATGTGGGTACGCAAATTACAACACATAACAAATGTCTGACGACTGATTGTCTGCTGCGTCTATGTGTCTATGTGTCTATGTGTCTATGCGTCTATGTGTGTGTGTGTGTGTGTGTGTCTATGCCAGTTGGGAATTTATAATGGTTTTCTATTCCACAGCACGCACACCCTCGCATATTTCTAACAATAGACGCACATGCGAGCTAGTCGGCCTGATTTGAATTTCAGGCTCTGGCACTTACTTTGGTTCCACTGATTGCTTATATCTTGTTTGTGCGCAATTGAAAACTGAGCTGAGTTTTGTACCCAAATCAAATCTTTCAACAAAAAAATAACAAAAAAAAAACGAGAAAGCAGGGCTAACTTCGGCACGTTGAAGATTTAATACCCTTGCAGACCCAACCTTTTCATAATGCCCGAGAATGGATATTTAAATATTTAAAAATACAAAAAGTTGTTCATACAAGAACCTACTTTTCGACCGATCGTTCCTATGGCAGCTATATGATATAGTAGTCCGAAGTAAATAAGATTTTGCATAAATGTAGGGAACATAGTGAAACTTATAAATGGCGAGTTTGGTCAAGATATCTAGAAAAACAAAAAAGTTTTCCATACAACAACTTAATTTACGACCGATTGTTCCTATGGCAGCTATATGATCTAGTGGTCCGATGTTGATAGGATTTTGCATATACATAAAACTCATAGTAAAACTAATATATGCCGAGTTTGGTTAAGATATCTTAATAAACAAAAAAGTTTTTTATACAAGAATCTACTTTTAGAACGATAGAAACAGACGGACAGACAGACAGACGGATGTGGCTATATCGACTCGGCTGTTGATACTGATCAAGAATATATATACTTTACGGTGTCGGAGATGTCTACTTCTATGCGTTACACATTTCGAGACAAAATCATAATTCCCTGTGCAAGGGTATAAAAAACATTTGCCGATTTTCATGTGGTTCATTTGAAAAGAAATTGTGTAATAATTGTATGGAAATTGAATTCGTTTCCAGACCCAACCAAAAAACACTTCCCAATTCCCAACTGTTTATGGCGCTGGCAGCGCCTTTGTTCAGCATTTTGACGGGCTGACTCAGTGGGGCATTCGATTGAGGCCCAGCTTGATCCCGGACACATAAAGCGTCGTTGACTTGGCCCGAGAACAAACAATGCAACAGCTTCGATCTAGCTGACAGTTTATGGCACAGAGCACTGAGAGCAACGAGTAGGTGACCGACTGGAAAATACCCGCACCCACAGCTCAGCTGCCTTTAAAAACATTCTAATCTTATAATCTTTGCGCTCGACAAACATAATTTTTTTTTTTTTTTTTTTTCTTTATTATATTTTGTTTATTAAGAAATCTGGTATCCTGTTACTCTATGTTAGCAACTTTTATCAGAGTGACATAATTACTTAGCTTAGCGATGATTGTGGTTTTACAATTAGTTTTACAATTAGGTTAACAGATTACAGAAACATATTTTGATGTAATTAACGAAGCTTGTCACCTATACATAACGATCGATTAGGTCGGTTGGGTAGGTCCTCTTCAGTCGCCTTCTTCTTCGCCTCCTTAGCAGGCTCCTCGCCAGGATGTTTGGATGGTTGTGGAGCTTTGTTGAGTAGCTCGCTGCTTGCCTGTTGACTACGTCGCCCACCATTGGAACCTTGAGGTCCTTGGCGATGTCGCGTGTGCGAATATACCATTCGGCTCCAGTTATTTTGCGCAGGGTTTTGGCCTGAATGATGCGAATTTTGTTCAGGTGTGTTTTTGCAGCTATACCGTAAACTTGAAGCCCGTAACGCCACACTGGGGCAAGGATTACCTTGTAGATAAGGACCTTGTTTCGGAGCGAGAGTTTGTTTTTGGAGTTGAGGAGCCAGCTCATTCGCCTTATCTTAGATTTGATGTTGCTCGTTACTGCAGAGACGTGCTTACTAAATGTAAGTCGTCTGTCGAGAGTGACACCTAGGTACTTGTGTTGACGATATTGCTCTAGAAGCTCACCATGAAGAAAAAGTCCGGGGCATGAGTCCTTGCGTAGAGTGTGGGTAACCGTGGCGCATTTTCCAGGGTTCACTGCGATGTTCCATCTACAAGCCCAGTTTTCAAATCGCTTAAGGTATTCCTGCAAGAGGTCAGTTGCCACGTACACACATTTGTTTTTTGCAAGGATTGCCGTGTCGTCAGCAAACGTGGCCACCAGAAGGTCCTGCCGATCATTCCGTCTGCTTGCATTTGCTGTGGGCATGTCATGTGTAAACAGGCTATATAGCGTGGGACCCAAGACGCTGCCTTGTGGAACGCCCGCTTTTATGCGTTTGGTTTGAGAGGCTACTCCATCCTGCACCACTTGAAAGGTTCTCTCAGTTAGGAAGCTCGCAATGGTGCTAAATAGCTGCGGATTTAATTTGTCCTTTATCTTGGAGAGGAGTCCTGCGTGCCACACCCGGTCAAAGGCTTCTTGGATGTCGAGGTATGCTGCCACCACATACTCTTTCCTGTGAAAGCCGTCCAAAATATAATTTGTGACCCGATGTAGTTGCTCAGGGGTACCGTGTTTGAGTCGAAACCCAAACTGGAACTTCGGGATCAAGCGTTTTATTTCCGGGGTATCCAGGACCCTTCTGAGGATGCACCTTTCCAGAATCTTACCAAAGGCAGGCAGGAGGCTGATGGGGCGATAGGATCCCAGTTGATTAGGGGGCTTTCCGCTCTTGTGCAACAT